GGATGTAAATATTCAGATTACAATACTCACTAATATAATAATAGCATATGATACAGATTTGTACATAAACAACAATCAGTAAAGTATAAAAATAATGTCAATCTTGATACATCAATAACAATTCATGCTATGCAGGCATAAATAACAGAATATATTTTGCTTTATTTCATTATACAAGAATTATTGATCATACGTTCACAAAGATGAGGGCTATAATACAAATATACGGATTTCAAACGAAATCTATAGATAAATTTCAAATATATACAAAAATTCGACATACACACATGTATAGACATTTGGGCAGACATTCGCCGCACATTTATTTTTAAAGTAAAATGAAATAGCATTCAGAAAGTTCATAATATAGTGGAGGATGTTTATAATATAATGAAGGATACCTATATTATACTGTAGATATAGTAATAACGTAGACTAAAATATAGATTACACTGGAACAATACACGCTACACTGAGATGACAAGGAATTTATAGTCCCGCACATATTGACATAGTAGCTATATATGAATATGTATCATTTTGTATATTAGAAACGCTATATGTGCTCCACAAGGAGTATAGACGAAATTCATGGACGCCCCACAGATATAACTGACAATCCATAAGCTTATTCTCAAATTTGATAGTGAATTACAAAATTAAATAACTTTGCAATACCATAGTTCCACAAATATTACGACACAAATAAATCACATTGATGTATACTTGTATAGAGTTTAACTACATATTCAATGGGATAGAGTCGACAGTATAAAATTAGAACAATTGAATGAAAATTGTAAATACAGGGCTACTCAAGTGAATAATATATTCACACTAACGTATAATTACACGACGATAATAAACTAGTATACACATAGATATTCATAATGTACAATAGATAAATAGTTCCATTGCATGCACATACTTTGAATCAACCAAAACGTCCAATCAACGTACATACTCACAGGACACCACACTTACACACAATTATACACTTTCATTAATATTATACTACTTACAAGAGTATTGGGACTTTGGGAATCCCTTTCGCAATCGATCAACAATAGCGGGAAATCCGCCTACACACACTCATCGACATTGTTGTGTAGCTAACACACGAATAATCATCTTGAACATGAATTGTTTTTATGAACACACTCACTAGATAGACCATCAGCGAGATATTCAATACATACGGTGCTTTGAATTTATACAACATACATATTATCGCCAAATACAAGCTCTAATAGTCTGGGTCTATGACGAGATGTATTGTTTCAGATACGGACGAGATGGATTGTTTCAGATACGGCCCTAAGTCATCCTTGTCGGCTCAGTATTTGTTTCTAGCAGAAGACCTTGTCAGAAAAAAAACAAAACGAGAACTTCACTTCAGTGTTTGCCTTTTTAGAAGGTCTCTTAGAACGCTTAGGCATACAGCATTTCCCAGCAAACTCGTCACTCTTTTAGTCGTCGCCCTTGAATTAAACTGTGAGTTGTGTAATCGACAACGGCGGCCGATCACTCCTCCTAGTAGGGTTTCGAATAGTACTTGGGACTTCTGGGTGTCAGGGTTCTCATGGCTTGTTAGTTTGTATATATGCGTATCACCGAGTCCTTACCGTTGATCTAACTCGTCATCAAGAAACTCAGACCAGAGTTGCCATTGATGTTGTCCACTTTATGTTCCTCGGAAACCAAGTCTTCTACCCTGCCTCGATTTGCACTAAACATATTGCAGGCTCAGTTGCTCTTCTTGAAGCCATCACACTTGATTGTAGTGGCACCTATCACCTTAAGCCAACCTCGCGCCTGTTGTCAGAAACCATTTCGTAATATTTCACCATGGTACAGTATCTACAATTTGAACGCCGGAGATCGTCCTCAGAGTAGCACTTTATTTCCTTCTGACGAGATTCATCTGGACAGCTCTTCAACGTTCCTTTCGGCAAAATTACAGCCACAAAATGAGGCCGTCATTCAACTGTCTTTTTCGGTGGGCGCAACTCATGATAAATCTATCTACCTCTTTGCTGTGTCTAGATTTAAATCACTACTCATGCACGCAGAAAATTGACGTCACTGGTCGCTACGTTTGATAACGTGCAATGTGGAAAAGTGCTAGTGTTTCTAAAGTATTGTGCGTTTGAATTTATTTATGATCTCACCCTCAATTATATACTGATGGTGGTTGTACTAGTGTTCAACCACTTGGGTTGGCCAGGGTAAAAACTCACATGATCAGTAAGAGAAACCTTATGCAGAACACTTTAGCACTCGGATGTATTTTCTAGAAATAAAAGAACAACTCTCAAACCGGTGGCCCGTGTCCTATAAATAGAATAGTCTGAGAAGAGGTCTCAAATTACTTCTCTCGGGCTGACCCACCTATACGTATATTAATTTGAAAGCAAGCCTCAAGCTACTCTCGGGCTGACGACGTAAACCGTTATCAACGTATATAGAAATACGTCTACTTCTGTAGTCTCTCACTGTATTCATCGTGAAGCATGATGAACCGGTAGATTAGCTCTGCAGTGATGAGCGTTCCGGAACCTTGGGCCTCGTGGGTGATTAAATCCTTGTGGATAGCGTTCACCACATCGTTATAAACATAAAAATACATACTACACCATGTAGTTCGCAGATGGGGCGCAATGCGATCTACCACCATCAGTAGTTTGATGACTCAGATGTATTGAAAGCTTTTACTAAGTAGTTTCGTAAACTCCTATACAAAATCAAAAGATGATGCTGAGTGACCTTTTTTGCATACTTAACGTCCTGGTATAGGTCAAGGTATGTCCTCAGGCATCATTCAATCCAAGTTTTAAAAACGATGGCATGTATGTGCTTCCTGAAGGTCAAAGGTACGTTATGTTCATCAGGACTACAGGGACCTAAACTCAACAAAGGTAGCAGAGTAACCGAGTAACTTATAAATTTTAAGTATACCTCGCCTGTGAACAAAATATATGAGAAATTATGTTGCCTTAATATGTGGTCGAACCCCATTTCTCATTTATTCTTCTACAATTCATGTGAGCTTTTCGAGACTATGTAATTAAAACTACTTATAAATCAACTTTGGAATTCTTCAAGCTGAGGCGGGGGGGAAGGGGTTGCTGTATAAAACAGAGACTTCCTGACAATGTGTAGTGCATCCGATGGTGCTGCACTCCTTGATCAACATGAGTTTATAAAGAAGATCTTGAATATGAGACTGTTGACGAAATCGCAAGTGGAAAACTATTTTATTCACAAATCGTCCTACTTTCTATTATAGAGTCTCCCAGCTTTAAAGTACAAGTTATGGGGTTCAGGCTGATAGACTGGAAACGATCTCGTAACGCCTCGGATGATAGACTGCAGGTGACTGCACACTTTACGTAAGTAAAAACTGCTTCTTTAAAGTGTAGGTGGGTACCTGTTTTTTGTGCGCCGGACATCCTTGGCGAATCGATTCGGTTCAATTTAGGGCAGAGATGACGCCGAGTTATATAGCATTCAAAAACGCTTCACTATTCACACATGTGTGCTGTAGTTTTGTGTCTGCGAGATCTCATCTTGGAAATAGTCGGACTGAATGCTTTAAAAGTATTTTGGCGGATGTAGTGATTCTAAAATAGTACAACTAAACACCTATCGTAAACATCTTTGCCAAGCGTGGTGCGATAACTGTTGGTGTGTCACTAGCCACTACCAATGTTGTTTGTCCCAGTGTTTAAGAGTGTAGCGTGGTGGACTTTAAATAAGATAATTATGACATCACCTTTGGTTTAAGTAAATGTTAGCAAATTTTGCACGATGAAGTTAGTAAATGTACATTAAAAAAATGTAATTGTCGCTAAATGTACACTTGCACATATTGTATTGATATTTCCGTACGTTTCCATCAGTAAAATGGGTGAATGTACATTTAGTGACTTTTCCACATTTAGAGACTTTGTTCTTGGTTTTATAGGGTGTTTGTGTTATCTGTTCAATCACTTAGGTTGGCCAGGGCGAAACCTTATTATGGTCAGTATGCGACGCCTTTAGCAGAACACTATAACACTTTGATACTATTCTATTTCGACTTCTCACTCAATTTTACGCTAGTCATATAATGGTATTTGGCAAAAGCCGTGACTCACATAGGGGAGCAACCATTTTTAAGTTGTTGTAGATAAGAAACTTAACCAACCCTCGGAAGTTGGTCGAAAAATAAATATTGAATCAGCTTTCGGGGGTTGGAAAATAAATGTAGTCAACTTTTGGGAAAGGAACTTGATTTGCTCTCGGGAGTGAGCTAACTCCAATGTTATTCATAAATCAAAGAGTTTCCCTGCTGTAAAATCTGGTCTGAGGCTCGTAGTTGTAGTATCTCACCCAGCGCAACATATACAACCGTGATTGCATGCCTACCAACACTGAAAAAGAATATATTATCAGCTTTGGGGTCTTTTGGATTCTTTCCTTGCGACTGCAAGGCCTACAAAGCAATACCAACATACATTTAAAGCCGGAAAGTAGCTTGTCGAGTAAACGTTTTTGTCGTGGGGTTAGCCTAGGCACGTCGTATCGGAAGAAGAGAGCACGTAAATGTCAACGAGTGCCGATTAGAAACCAGAGGTATATACAGTGCAGAATAGCCACCAGCAAGCGAATAAACTGACGGAGATATCGTACCGAACTAGTCATCATGTTGTTGATGTTTTTGCCTGTGGGACGATAAAGTTCAGGGTCTGACGAAGTAGGAACAAGGATACACATATATATAGTAGATGTATATGCATACATACATACATACAAATATATATACACACACACATCATACATACATACATATATATATATATATATATGGCACTCGTGACTTAAACTGACTTCTAAATTTATAGACCATATTAATCGCGCTGATGAAGACCACAAGATAATTTAGGGCTTTGGGGCTCGGTCGTAGTTTAATGAACCAGAAATCGCCCCATTATCTTGCCGCTTGGTAGATAAAACCGAGCACATGGCGAAACCGCACGTATGTACCTGCCGCAATTGACAAAGCAGCCCTAGCAGGTATCCGAGAACGGTTTATCATTTTTACTCAAATAAGTGAGCCACGACGCCAATACGGGGGTCGAACGTGTAGAAAGAAGACTAGATACAGAAGCAAAGTGATATTTTTTTTTGGGTGATCGTATGATCATGTAAATAACAAACAAGAACACTGCCATCGTCGATATTGCTATTGCATGATTAGGTTTGGGTGTACATCTTGATCCAGCAAGCAATATCAAGATCGTCAGTCAGTATATGACATGGTATGAGATTATTAAATAGCAAAATAAGATTCTTATTCACCTCTCATACCATAGTCGTCATTGTATACCCCAGAAGGAAACCATCACGAGCTAATCGGGGTCACCAGCTCACAGCAAGAGATCGTTTTTTTCAACTATGACTCAAATATTTCTCGAGCCATACAGCTGCTGAAAGTAATCATCCTTCTGTTATGACACCTTTTAACCTCACTCTCTTACACTGCCTGTGTTGGTAAGCGTGACGTTTGTTGTACATCACCAAGAGACCTGAAGAAAATAAGCTCAATATAAACAAATAAACAGGGTACTTTTCGTCTAAGATATCTAATTTATTTGTATTTTACGCCTAATTATCTTGCTTCTACTCAAGAGTTGCCCACGCCTTCTGTGAAAGCGAGTAATGTCTCGGGATGGTCGGCCCCTATCTTTTCCACCAGCATTTGCATTTGACGGCGCGACTTGTCTAAGTACTCCCTGAGGTCTACAGACAAAGGGAGTTCATACATGAGTTTAGTACAATGACATGCGAGATGTAGCTCACTGTCACTCTTTTCGTAATGTTCGCATGATTACGATGTATGTACTCGATGAGTACAAAAAACTAGCTGGAGACTTCGATCATACTAATGATGAGCCACGCACACTTTAGACGTTCAACAGTCACCGAACGGCAGTTTGTTGGACAAATCTTCGAAATGTTTGGATTGATCCTGAATACATCTGCTCACAATAGTAATAAAATAAAATTGTCAGCCAGGTACTGATGATACACACTATCCTTGTCGATGTTTCTGCTTGCCAATAGCAAATGATGCATTGTCATCTACAAATGACCCAAACATTAACACACAATGCCAGCAAACTTAAACATCACCATACAACCACTCGAGCAGAGAACGTCCCCCGATTATCATAACACTGACAGTTATGATAAATACATACATCGCGTATCACACCACCCGAACAGTAAATGCTCCCCAACTTTCAGTATACGCCAGTCCGAACGGGCTCAACCCATCCCAAAACCACACGTCAGCATGTGATATTCTGACGTCGTGCCCCTAATACAAACAAACACCAAGCTTCGTACACGAAATTATACTGTCATCTAAATACTTTAATACAAACCTTTTGGGCATACAGACCTCACTCCACATACACGAACTTTGGGAGATACCTTCTACAACTTTTCAAAACTTTCCATAATAGCACATATCTTTAATAGCTCCATAAGATAGTTTTGAGTACACATACCGGTTGATCTCAACTATAATTTCTATACTTTCACACACCTGCTACAATCACACAAACTGTGTCACAGAATACAGGCCCCCCTAATAACACACCTTTTATCGTATCCGATTGCCAAGTCGCCAGCTCTTGCAGTTCTGACGCGGAAAAGTTGCTCAATTCTATTTAAGGAGCAGAAGATTGAGATTGTTTGCTTACAAGTTACACGGATGGAACTCATCCACTCTTACTCACGTGAGAAGAAAATGCAGTGATAACTTGTTTCTTTGGGGAACGAGCCTAACATTATGATTGCTATTGGACTTAATATGAACGGTTGCAAATTGCCATCTTATCGGCAGAGGAGAGAGAATCAATAAGTTGAGCGTACTGACTAAGGTACAGATTCGGCGAGTATACACATATATTGAGCCAGAGTGACTACCAAATTGAGAACTCCTCAACAAGATCGGGAGGGTGTTTACATGAGCAAGTAAGCCCGCATACGCAAACACGTAATGATTCTGGATGTCTACATAGACATGATAGAATGATCGGTGCTTAAATACGTACGGGTATCAGTTTGTGATTTCAATATAGACAGGTATATGTATTGGGTATGGTGAATTATACAGGTGCTCAGTTATGTATTGAGTATGGTGAACTATACAGGTGCTCAGTATACAGATGTAAATAAAACCTGCAGGTTGGAAGTGCGGAGAGGGCGATGAGACTGCATGCGCTACCCAGAAAGAAAGAAAGAAACAGTGATCACTATAACATTAAGTACTAATAAACAATTAGGACAACAACAGCCACGATGGCATTTTAAAGTGCCAAGCCAAAGCCGCAACACCGTACGCATATAGAACATGCCTTACTATTGCCACGCTCAGATTCTAATATGAGTAGTAATTATGAGTCAGAAGTACCTATTGCCAACTCAATAGCGAACTCTGCCGTTGATACGTAGGTGCAAAGCAGACACATACACACAGTCACTCAATACAAATCAAGATACCTGTGACCGCTCTGTCTTCCAGCGGCAATGGCTTCTTCGAGTACGTATATTCAACTGTGAAACGCAAAATTGGGAGAAGAGAAACTGTTGAGGGGAGATGAAAGGAAGCGCAAGTCGAGTGCATCGCTTACTAGCAGTTCTGCAATGTAGTGGGCAGCATACGATACTATCAAGAATATCAAATTTGCGCATGTAATTCTAATTGAACGCTCTCTATGTATTTATGGTTTGGGGGGTTACTTTCCGCGGCAAACCTTCAAATATATTGAGCTTAGGCTGACAGTCGATATGTGATCACACAGTATGCCGCAGATGCCAGCCATAGCTGAAATGTTCATGAGATTTACGAGCCCGACATGAATGCACATGCAACGATACATATTGCTTTAGCACAGCTCTGTCCTATCTGATAAAAGGCTTCATCAACACACGACCAGCTGTTTCTTCAGCACATCTCTGTCCTATCTGAGAAAAGGCTTCATCAACACTCGACCAGCTGTTGCTTCAGCACATCTCTGTCCTATCTGATAAAAGGCTTTATCAACGTACGACTAGCTTGGGGTCGTGGTTGGGAAGGGACGTGCGTGCTCAAGTTCTCCGAGATCACAAATTGTAATCACAGTACAGGACGATCGACACGGTAGTACAATCTGTCAGACCCACGTGACACGTGCAAGGGTATGGCAACAAGGAAAGCAATTCCATTTGACGAGCAGTCGGCATAAGGCCACATTTAGGCGCGATTAGAATACGAATATTACACAATGCCGATTAGTCATTCGATATTACTCCACTAGACAGCAGCAGACCGGTATTGAACCATTGACAAACTGTAGACCATACAATGTTGTAAAAATCGTACATCCGCCGCTTCCTGGAATACTTCTTAAGGCACAGGTGATGCACACGGCGGGTGCATAAAGACACCTGCAATCACACTATCTGATCTTTCATTCAACCAAACAACCCGCCGCTAACGCACTGAATAAACACACCTGCAACCAAACGATCTGATCTTTCATTCAACCAAACAACCCGCCGCTAACGCACTGAACAGTACAGATCATCCGTTGCATACCTTGCGTAGTACTTGGCCCGCCAGATACCGTGACCAGCACAACAGGGCCCCGTCCGCAGCCAGGCGGTGTCAGTAGCTGAGGGACAGAGAGAAGAAGGAAGAAGACAAGGACATGAGCAAGATATCAATGACAAGAAGGAACACTTCAGAATACATGTAAGTAGCCAACGCACTAATACTCGCGCGCAATGGCTAAACGGCGATACGACTGCATGGGCCCATAAAATACACGATGCCGTGACTAACGGAGCACTGCCATTGAGCCATCTTAGTAAACGCATGAACAGTTCTACGTACAAGTTGTTTTAAACACTACCCGCTCTGCCATTGAACCCCCTCAATAAAACCATCTGCTGCGATATGCATTCGAGCATGCGTGTCTCCTTATGAATTGGGCAGAGTATTAACCGCCTGCTTGGCATGTCTGAGGTTGAAATGAGTGTTTCCATACACAGCCACGCACCTTTTACACAACACTACAATACTACACAGAACACACGTTCGAGCAAGCGCGTACACGCTAGAACGATAGCTGACACATGTATCAAGTACACATTTATATATTTCGAGTGTATAGGTATAATGACAAAGTGTATAATCCGAGTGTATAATTAAAGAGTACACACACACACACATATATATATATATATATCCGAGTTTAACAAGTACACATTGATGTTTATGAAGGTTCTACTAATACACCAAGTGCAGCCACAGAATCTCCGCCGCCTGGCAGTGAACTTCGAACCAGCTATGTGCAAAGTCAGAAGTCGGATCTGAGCAGACATACAAAACAAACACACCTGCAAAGACACGCAGATATACTAACACACAAGCATATACATCGCATACCCAGGCAAGCAAGTAAGCAAGTAAGCAAGTAAGCAAGGACCATCACCCCCCCCCCCCAACCCCTGTAGATACCACTAACTTGCACCACAGCATGGCAGAGCTCACCTTGATACAATTCGATGACTTCCAGGTCACCTGTTGCAGGTCACACAGCCACCCCGCAACACTCAGGTACACGAGGTCGTCGTGGTTGTTGCCCAAGCTTTCGCCGTCAATGGTCACCACTTGGCAGCCGGCTTCCGAACCCCTCTCCGGGAAGATTTGTTGGATGTCTGGTTGCAGCGCCTCTGATAGTTGGAGCCATGTTGTATGATATGAGATATCAAGTGATATGCTACGAGGGATGTATTGGCCTCTGATTGTTGGAGCCATGTTGTATGTTTATCAAGGGTATGCTACGAGGGATGTATGACGATTTGTTGGATGTCTGGTTGCTGCGCCTCTGATTGTTGGAGCCATGTTGTATGTTATGAGATACTAAGGGTGTGCTACGAGGGATGTATGAAGATTTGTTGGATATCTGGTTGCTGCGCCTCTGATTGTTGGAGCCATGTTGTATGATATGAGATATCGAGTGGTACTAG